CTCAGCTTTCAAATTTGCAATATTGAATCAATAATTTTTACAAATTTGTATAATCCAAACTTCTTGACTTAATTTCAATACCACGACCCCAGATAATTCACATCATATGAGATAGGAGTTAGATGATATGTTTCTAGTGCATATTCATATAGAAATAGATTCAGACCACAATCCTCTAATAGCTAACAATAAAGTAAAGATTAAAAAATTTCAAAAAGCTTCAAAATACCAAAAATACAGAAGTTAACAAAAATTAATAGAGACAGATCTATATAGTTAGAGTAAAAAAATAATGCATAAAAACAATGGTGTAGAAATATGAAAAATATTTAAAAATAATATCTCACAAATAATAAAAAATGGATAAAAAAGAATTAATAAAGATAAAAAAATGAATAACCAACGAAATTGTTGAATTGATAGAGCAGAAAAGACACCAGACAAACAACAGATAGAAATATCGGAAAAAACAGAAAGTAATAAAACAAAAGATAACGATCCCGAAAAAAAGTTGGAGGGTTATAAATGAATTTAATTGAAAGAGTTATAGTATAAATACAACACATTCGATACGTTTGAAAAAGCAGAGAAATATCTGACCTCTATCATAACAAACTAAGTATACAATTGTAGATTCGACATTAAAAATGACGATAAATAAATAAGAAACTTAGACAATATGGTATACATACAGAAATAAACTATTTTCTGACGTCAGACCAGGAGAACAACAGATATTGAATAAAGACGTAGCATCAGAAATACTGAAGATATAAGCACTGCATGCTGTAAGGTTGGCAAAGAGCAGGAAAGCTGTTGGACCAGATACGTTAAAACTAATTAATGATAAAAATATTAAAAAGGTGGCCCAGTTCGGATTTAGATATGGATTGGAAAGTAGGAAAGCACTTTTTGCACTGAATGATCAACATAGCGATGTGTTTGCCATTTTAGTTGATTGAAAAAGGGATTTGCTACAGTATATTATGATAAGTTAATTAAAGGCATATATATTAAAGGTATATAGAAGTTGATTGATGCGAAGTCAGGATAATTAAAAAAGTATATTGGCGTCAAACCATTAGTATTAATGGAAAGTAGATAGAAGTATGCAAAATTAAAAAGGGAGTCAGAGAGTATTGTATGCTGTCTACACTGTTGTTGAACTCATATTTAAATATAATCTTTAAACAGGCCCGTTACAACTTATGCTAGAAAAATAGATCTACAAAATCCACAATTAATCACAAAAAGACCAAAATTTTATATAAATTTAGGCAATATTAAAATCTTTCAGTATTTTTAGCCCCAGAAGTGTAATATGTGGTTGATGCATACAAGATTGGCGAAGTTTAAACTGCAAAGATTTCAAAAGATTTCATTAACTAGAAATTAGCAGTAACAAAAATTTATAATATAATTTTATATTTTCTAAAAACGATTTTCGGATTATAAATCAAAGCCTCATTAACAAAAAAATATGTAATTTTAATTACAATCGCTGTTCTCTATTGTCATATTGTAAAATAATTTTATTGCTTGTTAAAAAAATAATGAATAAATGCTATAGGGAGATTCAGCAAGTATTTAAAAATAAACATCAACCATGTTTTATTTGTTTAATTTTGCAAAAATGCAGTATTTAAAACAGTTGCAAATATAGTCTTAAAATCCCTAAAATCACTAAAACAGTTATAATCAGCATGTAACAGTGGCAGAAAGAAACATTAAATATGCTGAATCGACTAAAAAAACTTTGGCTCTTAATGTGAAGTACATTAAAAGAAGAACATAACTGGGTTGGGGCGCTTTCGGCAAACTAGCACATATCTTGAAAAACACCTCCATTCCTATAAACTTGCCTAAGAAAGTATAAGTATTCCTAAGAAAAAGGTATAACACATGCATACTACCTGTTTGTACCTACGGCTTGGAGACAGTAGCACTTACCAAAAAATCTGCCAATAAATTAGAAACAACGCAAAGAGCAATGGAACGAATCATGCTTGGAATATCACTAAGAGACAAGATTAGAAACACCGAGATAAGACGAAGAACGGAGATTAGGGATATTGTGGAAGAAATTTCAAAAATGAACTGGCGCTGGGCAGGTCACGTAGCCTGATATAATGAAAACAGGTGGACACGGAGAATTCTAAAATGGAGACCAAGGACGACAACAAGAAGCATGAGAAGACCTCAAAAAAGATGGGTAGATGACATAAGAGCAGTGGCAGGCAAATGGATTAGATTGGAAGCAATTGGGAGAGACCTACATTCAGTAGTGGATGGAAAATGGTTGACAAAGAGAGATATTTTTTCCATCCTCTACGATATTATTAAATAGATATAATGGTGACCTTAGATACCAACCCCATATTTTTCACCCTCTACAGCGCACTACCACACTAGTGGTAGTGCGCTGCACATCAGAGAAACGTTTATTACAAAAGCCAGGAAAGATATTTCTAGTTTATCAGGAAGATCGGTGTTTGAGTGTTCCTCCGCAGAGGTGTAAATTGATAAGCTGAAGATTGTAATCCTATCTTCGGTGGTTGCTCTGGGCTAGACTAACTTTAGCCCACCTGATCCGCAGTTAGAATACGTTGGCATCTCAGGGAGCATGAAGAGCACTTCCACACTTACTCTTGAGGCTTTGCTGGATTTACCTGCCCTACCTGCTTATCTTATTGTAAAACACGAAGCCATAATGGCAGCATATTTTCTTTACCGCTCTTGATACTGGTTGGGAATTTAGCTCAACACCAGCTAAAAATTAGCAGAAGTTGAGCTCTCTAATAGGGTTTATTTGGTACGAGTACCGAGACGAACGGGCTGACAGCCTGAAAAGCAGGGCTCATCCACTCTGTCTGCGGTACCAGTGCTCTTAATGCTTGTAGGTAGTAATTTCTTTCGTAGTTTCTTCTAAACCACGCTTGTTTCTTGGACTGATAAAAAAACTAATTTTTGTTCTAATGGTATTTTGATGATTTTGGTAAACCATTTGTAAACATGAGAGAAAAGACTGATCGTCTGAGAAGACTGAAAATAAAAAGTCTATGGTTCAACCTTGAGCACGCGAGCTACATGCAGCACGAGGCTCGTCAAAACTGCAGCCCCCGCAAACACATTCAAAAATATTGACATTGATAACTTTAACCTCTTCCAACCCTGTCTAACTTTCCGTAATCTTAAGAAAGTAGTTAACCTTGAACACCCACTCCCGATGGGCGGGCAGTTAGCTTCAGTCAGACGCAGGTGTCTGAAGTGTTGTGTTGAATTAACAGTGGCGAATAAATTGAATATTAATTTAGAATGAGTAGTGCCAAAAAACGCAAAATTTCTAAGAGAATCGTACGTTCCGACGAAAATGGTAAAATCAATATTTCTTCATGGAATTAAAATGAAAGCCTAGTGCATCTTTTGTCAAGTACTCGCGATATCAAAAGAATACAATATTAGTAGGCATTATGAAACCCAGCACAAAACAAAATACGACAAATATCAAGATGAAGTTCGCAATACTCTTGTAATTATTGCATTATTCATCAAGAGGCTCTCTGCCTCTGTCGGAAAAATAATTAAAATCAACGATAGTATGAAAACTGTCGTACACCCACACAGCACAAGACATTCCTGGGACGTCCATGTTATGCCATTTTAAGGTCCAAACGTCCCACGACTCCTTTTGGACGTCCAAGAGACGTCTAAAAGGAGTCGTTTCTTGGAGACGTTTTCTAGGTTAACTGTATTATTTTTTACTTAAGCATATTTTTTACAAAATATAATATCTTCCTACCAAACTTTATTTTAAAAAGTTATGTTTAGTTTTAAATACCATTAATTTATACGAAAACAGACAGGAGCTCCTTTAGAGAAAAATCCTTATCTTATAGCAGAGCTGTAATCTCTAAAATTTTGTTCTGTAGTGAAACTGAAATTTAAAAATTAGAAGATAAAAGAAGAATGTGGTTATGTTTTAACGACGCTTCTATTTATCTCCTTGTATTTATGTTTCTTTTTAACGCATTTTTATTTTTAGCTAGCATTTTCGGAATCTTTTATTTCTCGAATTATAATCATTGTGGTTATGGTTGTAATTAGAATTAGTTTATTACTTTCGATACTAGTTTATAGTTTGGTATTTTATTATTATAGACACTAAGTAGGTATATAGGAATTTTATAGGTAATTTTTGTGGTTGTAATGTGAGTTGCTACATTTGTAAAGTAAGTATGAGTAATGTACTTAGAAAGAAATAAAAATCCCATATATTTTTGCTTTTCATTTTATTAGTTTTTTGTAAGTTCCCTTTAGGTCCTGTGTACATCCTCATTTAGGTCCTGTATTAGTCCATGTGGACTTACAATGGATGTCCCCAGTACATCCTTATAAGGTCCTATATAAGTCCGTATTAAGTTCTGTATATGTACTATGTACGTCCCCATGAATATCCCTGGGACGTCCAGGGGACGTACTTTTTGGTAACATTAAGGTTTTATTGGACGTCTCGGGGAAGTCCAAATTATGTAAACGGATGTCTGTGGGATGTCCGGACATTTAATCAGGTACATCCTTCGGACGTCCATGGGACGTACTTGTGCTGTCTGGGCAGATAGTAAACAGCTTAAGAGGAGGAAACAGAGCTCAGTGACATCGAAAATTATTTAAAATTCATCTCTTTCTTGGAGGAATTAAATACTGAATATAAGGATGTCCCCCTACATTCAGAGATGCGCTGGTTGAGTGCAGGTAAATGCCTTAGAAATTGTTTTTCTTTAAAAAAAGAGATCTTTTACTCTTTTTTGAAACGGAAATTGTTATTAGCACGGACGTATTTATAACAAAACCTAAGAACAAAAAATTTTTCATTAACTGGCATTTCTAACATATATTATTTTTATTAACTATATAAACATCAAATCTTCCTGTATACTAAAAACGTTATGGTTATTTAAGCGGCACTATAAATATATGACCGATGGACGTAAACAAAACTTGTAGTTGTATATCGAATGCGATTAAGACTAACCAAAATGAAAAGTCTAATTCTAGTAGTATTGTTTGTATTATTCAATGTTCAGATGGATAATGCCCAGTTTGGAAGTATGTATTAAAAATTATAAATTGTTTTAAAATATTCAACGATTTTTATTCAATATAATTATTAAGAACTTTTTAACATAGAAATATGGATTATTACCATTAATTAATTAATATTTTTGTTTTGTTTGTGCTGTTTTTCTCCCCATGTATATGTACGTTATTTAAATTTAATTTGTTTTGTTTTTCCATGTTTTTTTGTTGATGCATTTACATTTCTTTTAAAACATTTTCTTATTACAAACATTTTGCTTATTATTGCCATAAATAATTGTGTCTAATTTTGGAATAGATGGATGAGTAACAGCATAGTTTAGACCCTTTGACAGTATTAAACTCTCCGTTGGAATTATATGTCTATTTAATAGATTGGCCACTGTCGCTAATATGTCATTATTTCTATTGAGGTTATCTAAACTATGCATACTGTTTTGTTCTAAAAGAATATTAAATTTATTTAAAAGTATATTTCATTGTTTCTTGTATGAATTTTCATATACTACATGTAAACTAAGTGTAATTAATTGATGGATTCGACCGTAACTTGATGGAAATTCATTTTATGTAACAATAACACACTAAAAACTTTGTTTTCAAACTTCACAAAAATTTATTTTAACTCTTATCACTACAGCGGTTTCGGCTGATTGCCTTTTTCAAGTGATCTATTTTTGACATGCGCTTACACTTTATAGTCTCTAATGAAATAGGTTGAGGAGGGAAGAACTGTTTGTCTCAAGTTGGTCATTCAGAATAATATCTGTGTTTTTTATTTTGTTGATTTCCATAGATTCTAACAAGGCCTTTATTTTAATTGTGAAGAATTTTAAATTCGTCATTAAAAGAATCATTGTGATCTAGGTGACGTGCGTATGTAGAATCTGTTTTTCAGTTATTGAAAGCCCTTTTATGTTCGGCTATTCGTTTATTAAAGTTTCTACCAGTTTGACCGATGTAAGTTTTTGGGCAGTCGCCGCATTTAAGTTTGTACACACCACTGTGTAAGTGTTTTCTATTTTGGCTCTTGTTGTTTTTGATATATTTAAGTTGTTATTTGTTCGGAAAACTGGTGTTATTCTTTTCCTTTTTATGTATTTGGCTATTTTTGTTGATATTTTGTCTGTATATACAATCGAGAAGAAGGTACTGGGTTTTTTCTCTGGTGGTGGAAATACTAATTTCAGGGCTTCCTTGTGTAGTTTTTGATTTAACATTTTCTTAATTGTTTGTTCGTTGTATCCGTTGTTTACTGCTATTTACTTGATGATATTTAATTCTGTCTCAAAGTTGTATTTTGACATCCGAATTTCTGTTAATCTATGTAACATACTATGATAGGGTGCCAGTTTATGTTGTGTTGGATGGGATGAAAAATTGTGTATAGTGTCAGTATGGGTAGGTTTATGAAATATGGAGAAGTCATGTTTGTTTTTAAGTCTGATAATTTTTAAATCTAAAAAATTTATGGATTGATTTTGTTCTGTTTTTATTGTAAATTTAATATGACTATGAAGTGAATTAATATACGATAAAAGTTGGCCCAGTTGAGTGTTAGTTCGTGTGACACATACCAGTACGTCGTCTACGTATCTCCAGCAATATAAAAACTGTTTAAATACGGGATGTTTTGAAATCTTTTCTTTAGATGATCCATAAAAATATCTGATAGCAATGGGCTTAGAGGATTCCCCATTATAAGTCTTGCACTGTTATTTGTATATATTTGATTATTAAATTCAAAGTCCTGGTTTATGCAAACTTTAAGAAGATGTACAATTTCAGATGTAATTATTGGATTTGTACTATTTTGGCCCAAAAGGTTTTTTCTAGAATAAAAGTTTCTGTAGGAGGGATACTAGGAAAAATATTTTTTACGGCAAATGAAATTAATCTGGAGTTGTTAAGTAATTGAAAATGTTGTATTTTATTAACTAGTTCTATTGTATTTTTTATGGTAAATTTAGGTGAAAATTTAGTGTATTCTAAAATTGTCAACAGTTTTTTTTGAAAGCTTGTATGACGGAGCTGTATAAAAAGAAACTACAGGTCCTATTGGGTGATCCGGTTTGTGTAGTTTAATGATAGAGTATAATTTAAGAGGCTCTGTGGGTTCATGATATTGAGGTATTTCTGTTCTATTGGATTTACTATTGATTTTGAATTTTCTAATGGTAACTTAATTTGTTTTTGATATTTTTCTGTCGGATCTTTGTGTAACGTTTCAATATTTTGATTATTTAAGAATTATATTGTTTTGTTATTGACATAAAAGACAGTAAAGATTCGATTTCACTTACAAAGCGTCTATGTATCTGTTGATGCGTATTTCGACCTAATAGGTCTCATCAGAACAGTTATTCATAGGCGTTGAGAACGCCTATGAATAACTGTTTGGTGTTCTACATTACCATCAATTGATTCGGTGTGGATTCTAGGTTGCATTAATTTCTTGGTTTAGTTTTTCTTTGACGTCTTCTATCACTTTTGTAGCTCAGTCAGCATTTTGATAAAATTCCTTTCAATTAATAAATAAAATTTATAATCGACAATGCTCAATACTTTTTGTAGTGTTTACTAACACAACCTCCCATTAATTATTAATATATTTTTTTACAAGATTATTCGGCACAAGTAGGTGGCCTCGAGTTGGTTTAGAGCCAGATTTTTTAGGGGCACCACCAAATTAAATTGGCGTATAACCATGACGTGGACGCCATAGAAACAAAAGAACAAACAAGAAGAAGTTTTAAATTTCACTTCGAAAATCGTTCTTTAAATACAGACATTAATAAATAATTGTTTATGAACATAACCAAAACCAATTGCATAATTCGTTTATTCAGCATTGCTGTCAGAATATGCAAGAATTTTTATGTTTCTAGTGAAAACATTAAACATAATACTTCGGAAAAAAAAAGTTTTCTCATGACATCTCAATAGCTTTTTCCGATAAGAGATAAGACAATAATATGAGACAAACAATCATGAAGATATGGTGATTCTACTAGTATCCTATCAACAATAAAGATTTTTTTCTTTTAATATACACCAAAAAATTTATTATATTTAATATTGTAAAAAAAATAACTTTAATGTAAAATGTTGTCTTCTATGTTTAGTAAGGCTTGCATAATTTTGCTAAAGGATTAGAAAGTCACAAGTAATACGATGGTGTTTACCAGTGACCCCAATTATTACATACCTTGCTGGTATATCTTTTTCAATTCAATTGTTTATTTTGATATTTTCTTAATTCTTAAACCTTTCGTAAGAGTGAAGCGTGTTGTAACGTATTTACGGCTAGTATGGTGCTTCTCCGATTTCCGTGTGGGTCATAGAAAAACTGTTCTTTTACTGGGAATCACTCACCTCCATATTTCTTCCTTCTTCTTCTTGTGGAGCCTATTTGTTACGGATGTATTTATGAGAATACCCTCTTGGATATGCTCTAAGGCCTGGCTCATGACGTGTTCCGAATAGACGTTAAATAATGGGGGAGAGAGTATGCAGCCCTGTCGTACTCCTCTCTTTATTGCAACTTCCTTTGTTAGTTGGTTTTTCACCCGAATGGTTGCTGATTGGTTGTAGTATATGTTCTTGATTATTCTAAGGTCTTTGTTATCCAGATCAGTTGTCTTTCGTATATCCATGAGCTTATCGTGCTTGATTCTGTAGACAGCTTTTTGGTAGTCGATAAAGCATACATAAATATAGCAGTTGACGTCTCTACACCTTTGAAATAATACCTCAACCGCGAACAAGGCTTCTCTTGTACCTAACGCATCCCTAAATCCAAACTGCGTTCGTGAGATCTGTGACTCGCATTTCTGATAAATTCTTGTGTTTATTATCTTTAAGAATACCGTAAGAATATGGCTCATTAGACAGATAATACGATGCTCTTCGCATTTTTTTGCTTTAGGGTTTTTAGGTATAGCAATAAATGTAGGTTTTAACCAGCTCTCTGGGATTTTTCTCGAGTCATATATTTTATTGAACGTTATCGTAAGCCATTTTACTCCTTCGTCTCTAATAATTTTTAGAAATTCTGAACAAAAGTTGTCGGGCCCTGGTACTTTACCTTCTTTGTCTTAAGTGATTGGTGGTCCTGTGTCGTATTCCATAGTTGTCTAGGTGTCATCTCTGTCGTCATCGAATGTCTTCTCAATGTATCTCTTCCATATATTCTTTGTTGGTTCAATATCTATTACCGGGTAGCCATGATCATTAGTCATATGTCCTGATCTCTTGGGTTTGTTCATTCCTGCTGCCTCTTTTACTTTCTTGTGGAGAATAAACGAGTCGTGTCTACTTTCCAATGATTCTATTTTTCTGCATTGATCTTCAAACCATTTGTTTTTGGTTTCTCTAATAGTTTTTTTTTATTTTTTGTCAATTCGTTTATCCTCCCACATGTCTCTATTTTTAGCTCTATTTATGTTATAACTAGAAAACTGACTTAATATTTTATATTATTACACTGTTTGATTGAAAACTTTGAGGTCACTATTAACTCCATTGGTATTACGTATCACAAAAAAAACTGGTATTATGATGATTACTTTGCAAAAAATTGGAATAATTTTGAATGGGTTGCTCGTGTGAGTCCATTTCATTTTACGTAGTAAAAATAAATACTATACTTACGCTATTTGTACACTACCATTTGTATTGCATCTTCAGGCCTCCGTAAATGTAATTAAATGCTACAAATACAAGATTTAAAGAATTAGGCTACTGGCGGCTAAAAAATTATAATAAATTGTGCCAATATTATATAAAGACAGTTTTAAGGGACACAAAATTAAAACATTGGGTAGTAGCATTTATATTATTTTATTTTTGAACCCTTTAAAACTATGCATATATAATATTAGTATAACTTATAGTAATTTTCACCTGACAGTGACCTAATTCCGGAAATCTTGTGTTTGAAGTATTTGGCTACCTCACTTAAGACCTGAAGATGCATAGTAAATGGTAGTATGCAAAATACGTAATTT